CAATCTCGTTCCCCGAGCCTGCGATCCTCGGGAAGGAATCGAAGGCTCTGGGATAATCCGTTACCGGAAGCCAAGAATCATGGCTAAGATTGAACTACGCATTCCATATCAATGGCCAATCAGATTCCTCCCTGAAACGGATTATCCCAGAGCCTTCGGTTCCTTCCCGAGGATCGCAGGGTCGGGGAACGAGATTGGGGGGGTCAAGTATAATTGTGTTATCCTCAAGGGGGGGCCAACACAATTTTAGCATCTAATTTTTCATTTCCACCAGCCCCCCTCCCCTGTAATTAATGACCGGTCCCTGACCAGTGTGGAACATTTGTATTGTGCGCAGGGGCGGATCTAGGGTAAGTCCAATCAGTCGTGTGACTGACGTATTTTTTGCAAAGAAATCATTAATTTATTATTTCGAAATTTGAATAATTAATTCCAGAATATAATATGAAATTCATATCATAGTCCAGTATAAGTCTTTACAAGCTCAGTTTTGAATAAATATATGCTTTATCTAGAGCAGCAGTAAAACGCAAGAATCTCTCAGAATCGGGTGGTTGTTATGCTCATTTGATTGGTCGAGAGGTCATTTGGACTTATCTCGACTGATCTGTGGGGTGGCCGGACTGATTTGCACTTTAAGGGAGTCTTTATCAGTCCATTTCGTTCCTTTGATTGGTCAATTTGAAAATATTGTGGGGTGGTCGGACTGATTTGCAACTTAAGGGAGTTTTTATGGGGTGGTCTGACTGATTTGCACTTTAAGGGAGTTTTTATCAGTCCATTTCTTTCATTTTGATTGGTCAATTTGAAATTATTGACAATTCCTATTGGTTCATTTTTTTGGACTGATTCGGACTAATTCGCGGCAGGGGATATCAGTCCTTGAAAATTGCGAAATTCATGCAAAGCAGTCTTTCATATTCCCGTATATGAAGGTTTTTCATAGTTGGGAGAATTATTTTACGATGTCGAGTATTTATATGTGCGCGGCCGATTTTACGAGACGATTTAACGGCCTTTAATAAACTTGAATTGTCTCTGAATGAGGATTATTGTGGGGCAGCTAAGATATCAAGCGAGCAGCTTTTATAATGTTGTTCTGTTCAACAACGAGAAGGCACTAAGTTGGGACTTCTCTGCTACGTGCTTCACAAAGATCATGGTCGTAATTTGGGTGGTAAAGTCAAAGGAAAGTCACCGAAAGTGTACACTGCTATAATGTATGAAAATATCCAAAATTATGAAACAGAAATCAAATGACTATATTGCAATGTATCTTGTATGATAAATGCGAAGTTGAAATATATTAATACATTTTTACACGCAATCGACTTGCAATGCAACTTATAATGCGCTTTCGGGCCTTAAAGCTTTCCTGCTGTATTTAGAATTTATAAATGGCCCATTATAAAAAGGGCCAGAATAGAGCATTGCCATTGGAGTGTTAAAACAATATAATTTGGATGATTTGCATTGCATGAAAGATTTGCGATGAATATCGTTATAATATACAAGTGATATTTATAGCATATTGTAAAGCGTAAAAAAAAAATACCTGTGGTTCCGGTTTCATATCGTGAAAAAATTAGGGTCGGAAATAAATTTTTTTTTTGAATATTTTTTTCATGGTTGTGGCAATTTTTGCTGGGCGATTTGCAGCAGAGTCCCGACATCAATATTAACTAGAGATGCGTATTTCCTTTGGACGAATTTAGGCAATTTGGTTCAATAATTAGTGTGACAACAGACGCCATTTTGGCACGCTGTATGAGCAGCCCGCAACCACCTGGAGAAAATAGAGTTGCACGGTCAATCGCGTTGAAAAAAATAATAGGGTCGGCAGAAAAAAATAGGGTCGGTCGGGAACCGGAACCACAGGTATTTTTTTTTTACGCCTAATTCATTGAATAAAAAATGCATTTTACAAAGTATAATTGAAATATTACTCTTTATTTTGCTTGAGAATTTTTATTCACAAACAGCGAGTTATATTGGATCGGTCATTGGTATCATATCACTTCAATTTGCAAAGGATTTCATGAGCCAAACTCAAAGGCTATTGAAAGTTGAAACTACATGATGTGTTTTGTAATATGACCCTCCGTTAGTAAATCTAATTCCGAGGACTGGGAGAAGGCATGTTTGTGAGATCATAAGTGAGATCATGTGCTTGCGTTTGTGAGATCATTTTGTGAGATCATGTGCTTGATGTACTTTATAATCTTTGGAATTCTGTAAAATCTCACCGCCAAAACGCTTGAAATCGCATTTCAGAGACCCTAGATTTCAAAATTTTCCGGGGGGGCATGCCCCCAGACCCCCCTAGCATGTCTCGACTTATGTTTGAAAAATCCTAGATCTGCACCTGATTGTGCGGCAGTGGTATTGGCCGCACAATTTTGATGCTTTCTATACATTTTAATATATTGTTCGCTATAGTCTCTATTCAAAAGTACTTTATGAGATATATAGGATGATATGGAAGTTAATACTGTAAGTATTTTCGAGTATTCACACTTTTTTCTTGCCACGGATTGACATTTCTAGGGTGGGTGGGTGGGTATGAAAAAGAAACGTCAAATTGACGTTTCTCGTGGCAAGTTGAGTATGGATGCTCCCCCTAATACTGTTGAATTTTTGAAATCTCTGAATTTTTGGCATGCAATTTCCAAACTTTCCAGTCAGGCCGGGATTCCACGGTTCCGCCTGGCGGAATGACCTGATTTTCAATATCAATCAATTGATTAATATTGATTGTTATAAAGTGATACTGATTTTATAAATCATCAATTTTATTGATTGCAAATGCTAGGTAATATGATAGGGATCGAATATGAACATTATTATAAAATATAAAAATTAAATACTATATTTGATTATTATTATTTGTACCTCAAGTGCACCTGGTCCTAGTCTATCAAAAACACTTTTCCTAGGCGCACTGGTATCTGTAATCTTTTTAGAACCTTCCACTGTCACTTTCCTCGTTAATCGCGAGCCAGACATCATCAAATATCCACCAATTTCACACTCTTGTAGTATAAACTTCTCTTCACAAAGACGCCATGTTTTTAAATCTCTCCTATTCGCAGGCCGGAAGTCTGGGGACGAGACTCAGTTTTTCGCCCCTCCCCTTTTCCCTCGCGTTCTTTTCTCTCACTTTGCCCCCCCCCCCCCAGGCGTTCCCTCCCTAGGTTAAACTTTTCACTATTATAATTTATTATAATAGTCTAATTGTATAAAAGGCCACATCAAAAAATAGTTTGCCAAAGTAAAAAAATAGTTTACATCGTTGCCACAGAGTAGAGACATACCGGAGACGTAACTGACCGTTGTAAACACTGCGGAAGCTTACGTTTTCATGTACCCACTTTTTTTCAGGCGACCGGGCAAAAAATGATCAACTGCGCGTGCTCAGCAAGTTTAAAGTGAGTCGTCATCAGCTCGTCATCCAATCAGATGCATGCATCTAGTAACTTGCCGAGCATACGCAAAAAAAAAGTGGGTACACTAGTTACGTCTCTGTAAGCTCTGTATGTCTCTACTGATGTACTCTGTGTCGTTGCCACCCAATTCCCAACTTCAGATAACCTACATGCCTAGTACTATTGTCCGAGTTTACAGAGAATAGAACATGAAAAGGTAACTAAGTATTAGAATTATATATGTATAAGTTATTCAATCATCAAAATCATGATATTTGTTGTGTTGGTGTAATGTACTCTCGATTACACTGATATCGAAGGAACTAGACTCAGACTCAGTTCCGAAATATCACATATTCGAACCGACCTGACCGCGTAGCTCAGTTGGCAGAGCATTGGGCTAGTATTCCAAAGGTCGTAGGTTCGATTCCCACCGTGGCCAGGCATATTTTTCAAGCCTGCCCGGTGTGGATATACACTCAGAGTAACATCACAAGCAACATCAAAATCATGTTGATAATTCTAAAGCTTCGCGGTTACATTTGTTCCTTTCCATGTTTTTGTAAACTTGAACAATAGTAAGGGAACGGTCATTATTTATGGCGAGGAGTGACACCGAAGCTAGAGAAAAGGGTTAGGTAAACAAAATTTTGAGTGAGTAAAAGATTGGGTAAATGAAAAACAAAACAACTCAAGGATTGGGTAATAAAAAGGTATTGTCATTAGTTGTCATTTATTGCTCTCACCGCTCCCTAATATAACTGGGCATATGACAATTATACTGATATAAAGTTGTGAATTGGGTTAAAACAAACGTTAAAAAAATTCAGGAGCGTAGAAAGAAATTCAAATTTAAATGTATTCCAAATTCAGGAGCGTAGGAAGCAGAGAGGCCAAAGGGACCGATCCCCCAATATTTTATATAAGGGGTCCGGAATAGTTCGCACCCCCCTCCCCCATAAAAAAAATTAATTTTTTTTAAAAGATTGCGCAGATCGGCCAATTAATCAGATTAATAATAATAGTCCGTCCTGACTCACGGATCGCATAGACTGTCTAGATTCGCACTGAATCATAATTAAAGAATTAGTGAAAGTGCATAAAAAAGTAGCGAAGACTCTGGGAATGAAAGTAGCGAAGACTCTGGGAATGTCATTTCCGACGATCGAGAGACTCCAAATTTTCAAAATGTTTGAGTTTCGCTCGGCGCCAACCATGGTAGCGCCTCATGGAATTGCCCGCCCTCTAAATGCAATAAGGTTCTTATGCCCTCTTTATGGGACTATGCCCCTGGCAAAAGTTGTCTGTCATCACCGCTTCCCATAAAAAAGCACCCTGGGTTCCGGAGCTTTCAGAAAGTTTCCCAGCTAGGGTAACCTCTGGCACCCAGGGTAATAAAAAAGAGCCCCCTCAAGAATTTGTTTTTGAAAAAGCTTTTGCCTGCGCACTGCGTTGGAATTTAATATTTTCCACCTGACTCTCACGAGCTATGCTCGATCCAGCCGGTGGGTTCACGAGCAGGCTAACCCAGTCCGACCCAGACTCGGGCATTTCGTAACTGAGTAAGAAACCCTGGACACATACGCCAAAAGGTAGTAAATCGGAACTAAACGTAACCCGAAAGGCGTACGAAGCTTTAACCGTGGCTTCACCGAGCGATATTTGAGACGTAAAGTTCTCTTTATCCAACGTGGAAAATAAGATGAGTTCCACACAAGAATCGGATTCTTGGTTTGGTAGTTCTAGGTGGAAAACTGCACTATATATAGGATTACCATTGTTGGGTGTTGGTGTTGTGGGTGTTCTGTTATGGAGAAGGCATTATGTTAAAGATACAACATCTGAACCTCGAACTGAACAACCTGCAGATAAAGATGTCACCACTCCTGCCCCAGAACTGGTATGGAAATATTATTTTTCTTTGTACAATTTAGAAAAAGATGTGTGCTATTTAGTTGATAATGAGTAGGTTTTTGCTTTTAAACAAATTGTTTTAAGCTTACCGACTTAGCCGACAGTTAAAGACTGGATAACAGTGGGGCAGGGAGGGGGGCTGAATTGTATGGTTTAATTAAGGGTACTGCCGCACTGGTAAGGTCCCAGGGAGTCTAGGCATACTCCTTGGGAAAATGTGAAATATTGAGGCTTGGAATTGCCATTTCCTGTACTTTCAATTCTGATAACAAATTGAAGAACATAGGCATCAAAAATCAACAAACCGTCCATTTCATTTTCAGTTTTAGTTTGTTTGAATAAGCAAATAAAACATTAATTGAATTCAAGAATTGAACTCCCTGCACTATAAACCTCTGATTATAAGCCCATCACATTACTAACGTTCACACCATTACAAATATAAGCCCCTCCCCCAATATAAGCCCACCCGAATATAAGCCCACTTGTTTATCATTGACTATTATTTATCACTATTACTATACTTGTGTAACACTTGTTTATCACTATACGTGTTTATCATTATTACACTAACATAAAATGTCGTCCATGTATAAGCCCATGTATATTAACTCCCCCTGCATGTATAAGCCCATCAAAAAACACTTATGAACGAATATATATTAACCCAGGGCTTATATTCGGAGGTTTATAGTTTAGTTGGAAAGAGCTCACAGCTTTTTTTAAAAAAGACCTAAGTATTTCAAATAGCATTTTTTCCAGGCTAATGTCTATATCTACATAATATATGCATAATTATAACATGACACTGTGAGAAACCCAGTTACTAATTTTTTTGGTCAAATGGTTTGGTGACAATAGACAAAGAGTACAAGATTTGTTCACCTGCACAAATTAGCCGCCACATATATTGTCAGTGCTAGTTGTAGTAAGCAGGGGCCGCAGGGCTGAGACAATAGCATGATACTGTCCAGACGTTGAGTAACCATTGTTTTTATTAAAAGGTGGTTACCTCTGTCTATTGGGCATATCTATAACTTCCCTTATTTCTTTGTATATTATTTTGCAAAATTTATATTTGCCTTTCATATTTTCCCAGTGTGGTTGCCACCCAAAAATGTCAGACAGGCCTTGGGCAGTCGCATATGGCATGAGAAAGGCTAATTCCACTCCTGTCAACTTTTACAGTTTACCTCAGCAGTGTAAGAAATCATGTTCAATCTCTTCATACAGGCCAATACAGCACTGCTTTCTTCCTCCTAGAGTCCATCTGAGAAGGCACAAAAATCAAAGTTAAAAGGGAACGAGCTATTCAAAGCAAAGAATTTCAAAGAAGCTATCGAATGTTACTCTCAAGCTATCAGTATTTGTCCAGAAGAAAATAAGCCAGAATTAGCTGTCTATTATCAAAATAGAGCTGCTGCTCATGAACAACTAGTAAGTACTACAGGTAACTACAGTATGTCATCTACCAGACTAGGGTTGGGCGATATTTCGATATTTTGATTTATCGCAATATTTTCAATCGCGATTATTGTATCGAAGGTAGAAACTTGAGCGACGATTGCAAGCACTTAATGCAATGGACAAGTGAGTTTTGTGAAAACAAATTAACAAGCGTGAAAATACAATACAAAAGCACTTTCTATGAACAAGTTTGTTCATATTGCAGGTACTGAAATTTTTCTTCCATTGAAGAAAATTAACTTCTCATTCTTTGTCTTTGCGAGAATGGCTATACTTGTAATACAGTTGTAGTAGATTGTATTTTTGTAAATGATTCAAAACCTAACTAGGAGCAGTTGCAACAAATTCAATATTATGCAAGTTTATACTAACATGAGTATATATATATAGTTGCAAAATTCGCTGCCAGTTGTGTGCTTCAAATATTTCATCTACAAAAACCGATCTATCATTCTATCGAACCAGATGTCCCCAAATCATGACATTTACAGTATAAACAATCTAAATTCATAACAGTCATATGCATGCTGGGAAAATTTCAAAATGTTAGCTGTCAGCATGCATACAATATTACAATCTTGCACAGAAAGTATGCACAGGGTTGTCAATATTACAATCTTGCACAGAAAGTATGCACAGGGTTGTCAATATTACAATCTTGCACAGAAAGTATGCACCTAGAAAGTCATGGAATTTCAATATTCCAAAATCCAGGCCTGGAAATCCTGGAAAATCAATTTTAGTCATGGAAAATTGAAATTTTACATAGCATTAACAAAGTATTTTACTCATTTCAATTTACCTGTCATAACAATAATATGAATTGTTGTTAGGGGTGCACCGGATTTCAAATACAGCCGGAATTCCGGCATCTGGCCGGATTTGGAAAAAATCCAGCCGGATTTAAATTTCTGTTTTGAACTTAAAAAATTCACTAAGAATGGGATAAACCACAATTTGGCAGCTTTAAAGTTTAAAAAACACTTATATTCTGATAAAATATTAAGTTATTAACAAAAAGATATTAAAAAAAGGTTTATAAACACAATCAGAAATCTAAACTGACACCATGGATAATAAAATAAATGGATTGGAAACTTCTGACGTCATTGACTGCATCCTTGTTGAAAAACGTGACGTCACGCGTATTGCGAATGTTACCAAAGTTATCGGCATATTTGTTGTTTTGCAATATTTTCCACTTTAAAAAGGTGATCTTGAAGCGTAAACTGGTCTAATTGTTTTAAAAACATGCCTAAGCCACGACAAAGTATTCAATGTAAATGTTTTTCGTCTTTGTTTTGTATTTTTTTACATTTGTAGCTACGAAATTGGCGTCACAAATTTTAACGAAATTTGCGATGTATTTTTCACTGTTTAGTGCTTGAAATATTTGCTAAAATTGACTGGGAATACTTAGAGTTTTCATCGTAGAATGGCGTGGTTACATTTATTTGCTCTTTGACTAAAATGTTTAGCTGTATTATTGCTAAACATGCCGTTTTTGAGAATTTGATTTTCAACTAGGTTGAGGCATCCAACTACGCCATCAATCCCAGTAAAAACATTAGGTCACGTCAGCTAGTTTCCTATCCATTTATTTTATTATCCATGCTGACACTAACTAAAAATAGTAAAAAACATAAACTGCCATTTTGAATACTGATTTATCCCCAATTGTCCCCATTACCGGTTTATCTCAAATCCGGCCAGAATTCCGGCCGGAATTTTTGTCCAAATCTGGTAAATCCGGTTCTGGCCGGATTTGAAAATTCCAAATCCAGTGCACCCCTAATTGTTGTTATATAACGGATTTTTAGTGCAAGAGCGAAGTGAATTTTATTCTTTTATTATATCTGTTATCGTCAAAATATTAACGAATTTCAGAAATTCCAGACTTCCAGGTCATGGATTTTGAAAAAAATGGTCATTGATCCTCAACCTGTTGGCAAAAATTTTGGTGTATGGATGGACTCTAACCTTACTATGAGTACACACATTTTAAGAACTACTGCGTTTTATCTCTTATATAACATAAGATGTATGAGAAAATATCTTACCAGAGAATTGACGGAGACACTAAATACATGCATTCATATCAAGTCTTTTGGACTATTGCAACAGTTTGTTGTACTGTATGGTCTACCCAACTGTCAGCTGGCTAAGTTACAAAGAGTGCAAAATGCTGCTGCACGTCTAGTATTTCAGGAATCGAAGTATTGTCAAATTACACCTCTGTTGAAGAACTTACATTGGCTACCCGTCAAATATCGTGTTAATCGACTTTAAAGTACTTTAATTTACTTACGTTCAAAGCCATTCATGGAATAGCTTAATCTAATAGATACAGTCTTCGTTCTAGCAATACTTTGCTACTTAGCACTCCGTCCCTCAAGTCATTTAAGACTTTGGGAGATAGAGCATTCTGTATGGCTGTCCCAGCGTTGTGGAACAGTCTACCGTACTTTATTAGAAATTGTACCTCTGTAAATAATTTTAAACAATTAGTTAAGACGTTTTTATTTCGTCAGGCTTTTGATTAGCTTGGAACCAGGCTTTTAGCCAGGGTCCTAAAAGAGGACGTCCAAAATTGGACGATTTTCGTATAAAGATACATCTGCAGTAAATGGGGGGGGGGGTTTAGATAAAACGTTCCTCTTGAAAACCTTTGAAGTTTACGTTACTTTATGTCAGTATCTGTTCCAAGTTCGTTCGAAATTTTTCAAACACACTTCAGGCTTTGTGAGTTTGTGCCGCTATGCTTTTTTTATATAACTATGACATTTTCATTCAGCCAGGTACACCATCAAATTGATCAAACTGTCTAATGTATCATAATAATGAGAATTGAAGCTATTTCGTTTCAGCTATATTAATATACTTAGGGAAATAATTGAAAATAATTTCGCTTTCCCCCCAGAATTTGGACGTCCAAAGGCGTCCATTTTTCGTTCTAGGGGCGTCCTTCTGGCTAAAAGCCTGCTTGGAACGTTTCTTTCTCAAAAGAGATCACAGTGCATTCTTGGATCGTTTGAAGGGGCAAATTATATGATGACAGGCATCAAATATGTGAAAGAGTAGAAGTATCTACTATCAAATATCAACTTTTTAGACAGCCAAAAATGAAATATCTCCTTTTTTCAGGTGTATGTACCACAGAATACCAGTTTTTTTATTTCTCTTATATAATTTGAAGGAAACATGCTATATACTTTATTTTTGTGAATATATATTAGTTTTAGTCTCAGTGGTCATATAAAAACGAAAAATGGATATTTTCATTAAATTCTTAAAAATAATCGGGATAAACAACAAATAAAATTCCCTATTTTTGGTACTTTTTTCTGCTTAATGCCCGTAAAATCGAAAAGTTTGAAAATAAGTTCGCAAACCAACATGATTTACATTCATCAACTGTTTTTCTAAGCGATACAACACTTTTACTATTCAGGAATCTCACTGAGTAATCAAATTTACCATAAAAAACTCAATTTTTCAAAATTATTGGTAAACCTAATATACTGTGGTACATACACCGGTATTCTGTATTGATTTTAGTATTTACCTTCCACTAAATTAAGTTAGCGATATCTGTGCAGTGGTATCACACAACATGACACACCAAATCCTCGTACAATTTGATAAACCGTTCCTTACTTATTGCCGCACTGGTATTCTGTGGTACATTAGGATTTTATCCACAGAATGTCCGATTTAAAAAACAATAGAATGTGCCAAATCTAACCCCAAGACCCCACAGGAAGAAAAAATAATGAAAAACTATACTAAAAAATATTTAACAGGCTATGTTATGTCAAGATATGGAACATGTAAATTTGCGTGGTATTTTGTGGTACATACATACACCTGTACATTAAAATTTTAATTTAAAATGTGTGCTGCCATATTTCTTGTTCCTCCAACATGGGATTTACGCGACTAGACCAGACTTTGGGAAATGGCTAATAAAGTAGGGCACAGGGTTAACAGGATGCCTGGGCAGAATAACTGATTGAGAGGCAGCACGATCCCCTAGTTCCCTTGGTGAGGAAAGTTGTGTGGCATTAGACAGGCTAAAATAATAAAGCAAGGCACAGGGTTAACATGATGCCTGGGCAGACATTGTGATTAACCGATTGAGAGGCAGCACCATCCCCTAGTCCCCTTGGTAAGGAAAGTTGTGTGGTGTTGGACAGAGTAAAATAATAGTCGGAGTAAGGCACATCGGGGCACATTGCCATTTAAAGGGTTAAAGTGATAACATGTTCAATTATAAATGTTCCGCTTTGGCCAAATTAATGAAAGTCAAACAAAAAAGGTGGGAAATATCCTGCCATGCTTAGAGAGTTTGAGGAAGCAGCCAGTTTTCGAAAGGGAGTTACGCTATGCCGGCCCAGCCATGCTTAGATAATTCGCTTCATAGCTAATAACTCCCAGCTTACTTAGGTATTTGGCTCCAACCATCCACATGATTTTTGAAGTTGGCCTGTTGGAGTTAAATTTTAAAGTGAGCATTCTGATTGTAGAACTAGTCCCTAAGACTATTGAGACTGAGGTAGCGTCGTGATTCATGTAGTGATTAGATAATTCGCTTCATAGCTAATAACTCCCAGCTTACTTAGATATTTGGCTCCAACCATCCACATGATTTTTTGAAGTTGGCCTGTTGGAGTTAAATTTTAAAGTGGGCATTCTGATTGTAGAACTAGTCCCTAAGACTATTGAGACTGAGGTAGCGTCGTGATTCATGTAGTGATTGAATTTACTCGTACGTCATCACATGTTTGATTGGACGAAACTATGGACGAAACATCCAATGTGATGACGTACATATGCCTGCGAACATCAACTCTATTTAAAGTTTGTTCGTTCACTGCAACCAGGTATATCAATCATGTTTCGCTCCCTATACTCTGGTTTAAATAAATGATTACCTATTAAACCTAACCTAGTGAATATTGTACCATTCATAAATCACTCTTCCTGTACTTCATTTTGTTTCTGTAGAAGAACTATGATGATGTAATCTCCGACTGCAAACAAGGTAATTGTGATCTTTTAGCATGTCATGCAATTCAAACCTCTTATCATAGCTTTAATTTGAATTGGTCCTGCTCTGCATTGAGTGCAAAATAAAAAAATGTAGAACGGCCATTTAATTTCCGAGCAAAACGCCAATAGGCCGCTTCCTGTTTGCTCTGCATGGACGTTATGGCTGATTGTTCTGCTACATTTATTAGTAGTAAATAATTTCTAAAAATAAAACCCAAACTCTCACACACATTCATACATATTTATTTATTTATTTAACCGCAGATATAAACATTGTCCAAATTCTGTATCTTTTGAACTTTTTTGAATTGAAACGGAGAGTTTATCTTCATTTATAAGCATAGCCAACCAGAAAAGTGTTAGATATTCAGTTAGTATATCATATTTTACAAAATAAATATAGCAGTTCAAAATGTAAACAAAGGACTTTACAGCATCTTCAATACATAGTGTTTTTAAATCATTTATACTTTGTCTCTATATTAATAAATTTCTTGTTTCCTTGACACTATCTAGAATTCACAATAAACCATGTGACATGATAAATACCCATACACGTGCACGGTGTTCAAAAAAGAAGCAGTCCAACTTTACCATGATTGTAGCATGACATATAGAGCGTTTGCACATGACGTCACAGCCGCTTGTTGGTGTTCCAATGGACCTTTAATCTTATAACTAAAATTCTGATCTAGACAAAAATTTCATCACAGCTTGAAAGAGCATCACAAAATTAGTAATATCCCGAAGTTTCGTTGCGAAATGTTGTAAAATGCGGATAACATAGCCTTGCGAAATTGGGAATTTTCAGTAATTTTGTATCACAAATGGGAAATCGATACCCCAACACCCGATTTGGGCTGTCAATTTCCCGTGCGTAATACAAATGACTGAAAAACGGCAAACTTCGCAATGCTATATTATCCGCATTTTACAACATTTCGCAACGAAACTTCGGAATATTACTAATTTTGTGATGCTCTTTCAAGCTGTGATGAAATTTTTGTCTAGACTTGTCTTGATCAAAATTTTAGTTATAAGATTAAAGGTCCATTCAAAAGAATTTTAATTAGACTCTTTTGTCTGGAACACCAACATGACCGCCATGGCTTTTGTTGAGTTGGTCCCTGGGGAATGAGTGCAAACGCGCTACAGGGTATCCCCCAAAAAACGAAAACTATTGAAATAACGTTTTGTTAGAATTTGAATGCCTCAGCACTCTGCTGAACCCACACGTGCATCAAAGCTTGACGTAAGTAAATTTTATGGATAAAGAAACCGTTTAAGAAGCTGTTTTAAATTCCCTAGAGAGCAGAAAATCGTGCGCTTTACAAAGATATTTTAATTTCTTAATAAGTCAATATTTAATATATGCACCCTTGTCAATATTTTACGCATCTTTGCGTTCAGCTTAGTGCTAGGGCATTCACATTTTAACAATACGTTATTTCAATGGTTTTGCGGGGTTTTTTGGGACACCCTGTATACAGAGTATTAATTTATATTATTTAAATGTTTTTTATATATAAACACGCAATGGCATGCTATAAAAGTTGGATTAAAAGTTGGATACTATGTCATATATTCGAAGAAAAAAATATCCTGCAAGCGAATCATGGTGAAAAAAATTTCTGCACATCTTCGCCTGACAAAAAATATCATGCACGAAAAAATTGCATCCCCCCCCTCAAAAATCTAATGGTCCATCCCTAATCGCAATCAATTTTCGCGTTTTATCCCGTAGTGTTAAATAAAGCGCTACGTTGCGTGATTATGATGTTGAAAAGTGAAACAAGGCTAAGTTTTATGCTTGTTTTGATTTTATATAACTGATTAGCCGTAACCTGGCATACCTGTAATTTGTCTTGTTGATAAAATTTCACTTTGCCGAAGTCCGAAGATACTGATGTATTGGAACACTGTATACTTACCATATCTCTATCTTTTTTAGCCTTGCAATATAATAAAAGATATACAAAAGCTTACTTAAGAAGAGCTAAAGCATATGAAAAGCTGGATCAAAAACAGAATTGTTTACAAGGTATGTCAAAACAAGCTTATGTCACATATGCTTCGCTATGCATTATATGCTACGGTTTATTGTTATGATATTGCTGTGCTACGGTACACGATGATATGCTATGTTGTGCTTGATATACAGTATATCTGCAGTTAGACTTTCACAAGTCCTTTGAAATGACGTCATTTTATTTCGAGCGGTTCCAGACCCTGGGGACAATACTTGAAACATGAGTTAATGTATTAAATCGAAGAAGCGTTATGATGTCTCCTCATCAGATTAGGTTTATCTTTGGATATAACTGCAGAACAAATAGCAAATAAATCTGACTGTTGTGATATTTACTCTGGGTGCATCTGATTGGTTATCTGGTAGACTAAGTGCATCTGATTGGTTAATTTATTTAGTAGCGAGTCAAATCTATCATTCACAATCTGACAGTCTCGACAAAAAATATAAATGAGGATCAAGGAGTTACCGCTTAAATTACGGGAGCCACTGAGTATTTTGATAAAATACAAAACAATAGATGGTCCGAAAATTGAAAGCATTTTTCAAAATCGTATCTATTGTTTTGTATTTTACCGCTTAAGTTACGAATAATTATTAGGCTATATAATATATATATATATATATATATATATATATATATATATATATATATATATATATATATATATATATATATATATATTTATATATATATATATATATATATATATATATATATATATATATATATTGTGAGTTCACGGATTTTAGAAGTACTGAAATATCACGACATGCAAATATGAAACTTGCATTCCTCATAGTTTGAATAAATTGCTTTAAAATGCTCCTCAAGTTATAGCCTAGTTATAGCCTAAGTTACGTATGTTATAAACGCATAATTACAGGGGGTCTTTTTGCAACAAACCCTGCAACAAGCCCTCCTTGATCAACGTTTTCACTGTCAAAGTTTCCGGATATGATATCATTAGATAAATTGCAAATTTGTCTTTCTCTGTTTTTCGCTCCAAAAATTCATTTAATGACACCATATCCGGAAACTTTGACAGTGGAAAAGTTGATCAGAGATGAAGCGTGGTTTTTTACTATAAAAATGAATTCATTCTTAGAATGACTAAAATTTACACAGTCATACCCAAATTATATTTATGATTCGTGGCACTTTAAAATATTTAGTTTTATTATTTCTGTATGGTACTCCAAATCCTGTAAACATAAATAGAGGATATTATATGGCGGCGCGAAGATATGACTTTTTATCTTCGAGTGGTGAAAACAATATTTACGAACGAGCGCAGCGAGTAAAATATTGTTTTTAACACGAGAAGATAAAAGTCATATCTTCAAGCCACCGTGTAATGTTCTGTTTATTATATAGTCCCAAGCAAAAAATTGTATAAATACTAAAAGTCACGTGATCGATATCTTCACTAGTGAAGATATGGACAATATGTCACTGTGTATTTCTCAGTATCTCACTCTCTACCATATAATAATTATGTAGTATACATAAAGACAACTTTTTTCATGTTGATTATGTTCTAGATTTGACAGCTGTTTCCATGATAGAGGGTCTACAAAATTCTTCTTGGATGGTTCAAATGGATGAAATACTCAAACAGATTGGAACTGAGAAAGCTGCAGAACATTTCAAAGTGAGTATAAATTTTATCGAATTTTTTTGGGATTTTTAGATATTATTCCGGGATTTGTTTGGGACTTTTTCGGGATTTTTAGAGATTTCTAGAAATTTTCAGACATTTTAAGGAGTTTCATAAGGATATTTTAGGGATTTCTTAGGGATTTTTTCCGAGGGGCATATCACTCCAAATCAAATGGCTCGTACACTCGACGAAAGTCCGAAACTGCTATGGAACGAATATTTCTAACAAATAATTTTTTATTTATCTATTCGGAAAAGTATAATTGCAACAGAACATTGAAAATAAAATAATAAGAAAATATTGCTTTCTGAAAAAGTCCCAAAAAGTCCATCAAAATCCTCAAAAAGTCCAATCATAAACATTCTAGGAGTGATTTGCCCCTCGTTTTTTTTCGAGGTGTGCGAGATTTTTTGGACTGATTCACCCATCTAATTTTATAATCAGCTTCCTAGGTTATGATTACGATTAACGTATTTACTCGTTTGAGCGCCGCGGCGCTCTTTAAATTTTCAAAGCTTCAGATGCGGCGCTCTTTAAAAAAAATTAATCTCAAATGCGGCGCTCATTCGGGCTCAATCGATTAAATATGGTATTCAGCTCTCTCTTCAGTGACCGATTACATCAAGTATTACGCTTATTTATATTACCTACTTAGCCTAGACTGTTTATTTTTACAACAATTGTGATATTACTTTCCTATTTATCCTAACCCAACCTGTCAACTTTCCCTGTGGGAGAAAACCGTAGCGCTTGGAGAAAACCCACGACTTTCGGCAGAGCGTTGGCAGACTCGTCTCACATGAGTTCGTAGCCAGAATCGAAGCCAAGATCTGCTCTGATAGCCTATACGGTGTAGACCTCAACAGAAACGTGTTTCTGCTGGGGGTCTACACCGTATAGGCTACTGCTCTGACGAATGCGCCACCGAAGCCCCTATAGTCTCAAGCGTATAGTTGGCCATTGTGTGCGCATAGTATTCTTAATAAGCTTCCCTGGTTAGTAGTTGATCTATCTGAAAAAATTGAAAGCACTTCAACGTTTGATCTACCTCCTAATACAGGGTCTTCGCTCGAAATTTCGAGGTGTCAAAAGAATATTCTTTGCCCCAGCTATTACATAGAAAGCCATGCATTTTTTCATTCTTTCTCGCTTATGCTTGTGTCGCTATATTAAACGTAAAACATAACAACAGATTTTGTTGCTACTTTTGAAATTATAGAATCGCGGCGTTGGTATGCTACCGTCAAATTTTCTCATTAAAGCATATCTGGAATCCTTTAGTGAAGGTACAGTCTTATATATTGCTTATTTTGTACGGTAATAGTCGCATTATTGTGAAAAACGATCAAAGTTATTTTGTTTCACTTCAAATACCTTTAAAGGACATTGGCAATAAAAAATTAGTTTAGTTCATTTGAAAGAACTCTTAAAACTATATATTAAACTCTATTCCAGATTGTTTATATCTTGCTTAGTTTTCAAAATATTTCGACTGAAAAAATTGATCTGTTCGCCATCTTGGATTATTGAGGATATGCATGTTACGTCAAGAGAGGGGTCACGCTAAGTTTTTATCTTGAGAGTAAGTGATCAATATGAGTCCAAAACTTCGTTTCTGGTTGCTGTCTGAAATTTAGAAATGATTAAAAACATTTCAAACAATATTGGATTGTTACTCGGTCATTTTAGAGTAGTTTTATATGGTTAACCCAACTCCTGACGTCATCAAAACCATAGTTAATGAGGTAAAGCATTTTTCCAAGATGGCGGAAAGCTCATTAATTTCGGTCTAAATATTTCGAGAACTAAGCAAGATATGACAAATCGGTAATAGAGTTTAATATATAATTTTAAGAGTTCTTTTGAATGAGACAAACCAATTTTTTATTGCCAATGTCCTTTAAAAGGAAGATTAACCCAATAAGTTGCATTGCGCCCTAATGTACCCTACTGTATTCTTTTACTTTGTCTAACACCAGATGATTTTACTCTGTCTAACACCAGATGATTTTACTCGTCAAGGGAAGAGCGCTGGCGCTCAATCGGTTAATCACACTACCTTGAACTGTCTGTGCCAGTGTAGGTAGTGGCAATAAAATGAACAAGCTTTCGTTGCTAGGGATGCATGCAACCTGAAAATATAGAAGGAGAATTTCGACGTTACGAGCGAAGGCCCTTCGTAACTCCAGACGACGGCTCTTCGCTCGTAACGTCGTAGCCTGCGAACAGGCTCTCAAGCTGAATTGAGAGCCTGCATCGTTGACTAATGAATTTGAATATCTGCCCCGTAACGTTCGTTTTTCCAAATATGGAATGTCTATCCTTATATGGTGTTGTTTACAACTTTCGTGCAAACTAAATTTAGACCATGCAAACTAAATTTAGACCGTACAGTTTATACTGTTTTTCGAAATATAAGATATTGAAGCAAAAGTTTAAATGTTTTAAATACTGTTTTCTCAAAACAGAACATTTCGTGCTTTGAGATAAGATGGCCAAGACCAATTTGATCAGTTAATGTGTTTTTTATGCATAGTGCTTGGCAGTTGACATATATAGAGCTCAGCGGAATAATATAAATTATAGCATCTGACCAATGAGAATTTCGCGTCACGATTTGAGACGCAGATATTCAAATTCATTAGTCATCGATGCAGGCTCTCAATTCAGCTTGAGAGCCTGTGCGCAGGCTAGTAACGTCGAAATTCTCCTTCTATATTTTCAGGTAGTTGCATGCATCCCTACGAACGAAAGCTTAATCGCACTATCTGCCCATGTGTCTATAAAGTTCATCTGTTAAGTGGCATTGCGCCCTAATGGCCTTATCTTTATTATTTTACTCTGTCTAACGCCAGACGATTTTCCTCCTCAAGGAGAGAGCGCTCAATGGGTTAAATGTAAAGTGAGTCCAGTTTCCGATAGTTGCACACTCCTTCTAACCAGTCAAAGCAGTTTATTTCTCATCTGCATGCGTCGCAGTTTTGAAGGTGAGATGACGCGAAATTTTTATTTTCTGATCTGGAAGAATCGTCAAAACTGTAAACTGTAAAGTAACTTCCTTTATACAGAATTTCGTTTACTTCTTCCTTGGTGAGATAATTCGGTTTTCTTGATGTGCTATATTAATTTCCCTTGCCGGAAAACATGTTGGCCGCTGTACGTTGGAAATTGTACACAATGCTCCATTACTGCAGGTTTGAATGTTTATGGTGAGTTCACTGTTGAGCCACCTGACCAAGGGGCTGCGAATATTCTTCATCTGCATTTGTTGACTGCAGTTTTGATTCGATTTTGATGTTTGATATTTTTCTATCTTCTTTCTGCTGACCAATCTCGTTCCCTGAGCCTGCGATCCTCGGGAAGGAACGCGAGGCTCTGGGATAATCCGTTGCCGGAAGCCAGGAATCCTGGCTAAGACCCAACTGCGCATTCCATATCAACGGCCAATCAGATTATTCCCTGAAACGGATTATCCCAGAGGCTCACGTTCCTTCCCGAGGATCGCAGGCTCGGGGAACGAGATTGTCTGCTGACCACAAACATTTTCTGGGACGAATGGTCCCGTGGTTCGCTATTTTTCCAACCTTGATTTAAGCCAAGGCGGGATTTTGGTGGAAATGCTGAGAGAGGTGGAAAATATTTTAGGAGAGGTGCAACGGTCTGGCCCACAGCCTTCCTGGGATGTTAGTTCAGAGGTGGATCTACCAGAGGGGTGCACACCCCTTCCTACTGGTGTAGCACCCCCTCGTGGTGTCCAGCACCCACTTGGTGACAACTGTGGTATTCCATATTAAGTTTAGATTTCCCGCCTTTTGAGTTGTGCATGAACACTACATATTATATTGAAACGATTGATTTTTGAGTTTGCGAGAAAATATTCCAGCACCAATACGGCAGGTCACCACATAACGTTGCACTTTTCTTAATTTTTGCCTGGAATACAAGTCCTGTGAGGACATATTTAACGAATAAATGTAGTGCCAGAATGCAAGAAATAGCATTTCATGACTTCAAATTTCAAAAATGCACCCCAACCCTCAAAATCCGACCATGATTAATATGTCCATGTTACGAGAGGGAATTTTTGCTTGCAACTTGCAATTCATTTTTCATCAAGAGTGTGTTTGGTATATATTTTAATCTTGTAAACTCATTTGCAATAGGCAATTCCAGCTTTTAGTTCATGCGTGCAGGGGACGATGGGAAGTAAGGTATCACATTGCTGATTATGCTGAAAAAATAAAAATGGTGGCCGTGTAAACACGGAGTGATAGCTTATGCTTGTAAATATTGAAATATTTCGGTTGTTTCGGTAGTTTGTATTGAAATTTTTCAGCAAAATCGGCAATATGATACCTTACTTCCCATCATCCCCTGCAGGCACAAACTAAAAGCTGGAATTGCCAATTCAGTTCTGAAGACTGTAATTTTTTATTCGAATAAACGGATCATCTGTAAAGATCATCTGTATGTCGACAGAGTGGAATGCGAGCCATGCTCAAAATTTCTCTGCATGTGATTGCTTTAATTTTAGGTAACATCACTCTTTATCCGAATTTGCATGCCTCGTGTAACATGGTTTTTTGTGGTGCTTTGTATAGGTAATAGCATGTTTTTGAGTGCAATTTGGATATAACATGCACGAGTGAGTTTTTCAAAGGCCTCAAAATAGCACGAGTGATTTGGGTCTTTGAAAAACTCACGAATGCATATTTATCCACATTTCACGAGAAACCATTCTATTACTTATTAATAATTTACATAAAAGTAATCGAGAAAATCAAATTTGAACTTGACCAAGTGTGGGAATCGTACCGCACCGCTGGAGTGCGGCCATGTTTGTTTATTTGAAATTTTCCCCGCCAAAACGTAGCTCAATATTGATTGGTTCATAGTGATTACAGAAAATTGCACTGTGATTACAGATGTTTGCACTGCTGTTTGGGACTAACTACACTGAAATCAACCAATCACAGACAAGTAATACTTTTATGTATGATATTAAAATATTTTACTGTGTCTCACTCGATCATTTAATTTGTATAGATGTATTATTCACTTTGGATGAAAGTGATAATGTTGAAACAGAGCCGTACCTTCAAGCTGTTAGAGAAGCGCTTGATGATAAATTTGATAATATCATCGCACTATGTACAAAAGAAATTGATAAACCCGGTAAGTGTGTTTGATGAAGGGATTTGTAGCGGATGGGAATTGACTATTTGCGTAATTGACTAAATTTTGATCTAAACAAGTCTAGACAAAAATTTCATCACAGCTTGAAAGAGCATCACAATTTCCCCCGCGTAATCTAAAATAACTGAAAATTGCAAACTTCGCAAGGCTAATGTATTTTCCTCATTTTACAACATTTCGCAACGGAACTTTGGAATATTACTAATTTTGTGATGCTCTTTCAAGCTGTGATGAAATTTTTGTTGAGATCAAAATTTAGTCTATTACGCAAGTGGTCAATTTCGAGTGGAATTTTTATACATTTGTTAGACCTAACCAGGATCTGTTGCGAGAAATGCAACTATCAGCCCTCTGGCAGGACTCGAACTTGCGGCCCTGCGATTCCGGTGAAGCGCGCTAACCACCTGAGCTACAGAGAGACGGTTGTCGAGCTCTAAGTTCATGTACTATTTAAAGCACGCGTAGGAGTGTTTTATCACATATAAAACACGACGCGTAGTGGAGTGTTTTATATCTGACAAGTGCTTTAAATGCAAGTGCTTTAAATGGCCAAAAGAACGACTCATCTTATACGAGTTCATTGGCGAAGAAATTTTTAAAATAAACTTTGTCTAAACCGAGAAAATCAAAGCTAAAGTTTATGTAAATTAACATGATTTTTTATCACATATACAGTACACTCTTTTCATAAATGGCTGCCGATTAAAAATTCTTTTATGTGCATATAAATTGGCCCAATTAGCCTTGTACTCATGTTAAGATTTCAAAGGAATTTCAAACGAGGCTAGTTGGGCCAATTTATATGCACATAAAAGAATTTTTAATCGGCAGCCATTTATGAAAAGGGTGTATAAAACCACGACACGCTTATGATTTTTCTTTGTGTTTTGCTTTGAATTATTAATGAGTAGTATTAAGGTGATGCTATTGTGAGGTGTATGGGTAAATATCAGGATTTTGGGCATCTCACTTAAGCCGTGTTTACACTACGAGCCTAAGCCTGGCCTGGGCCTAGCTTTGAACTAGGTTTTTGTAGTGTAAACGCACTTCGGGTTGGCCTAGGCCAGGAAATCTAGGCCACCTGTTCTGATGGGCCCAGATTTCCTGGCCTAGACCTGACCGAAGTGCGTTTACGCAACCAAAATCTAGTCCAAAGGTAGGCCCAGGCCAGGCTTAGGCTCGTAGCATAAACACGGCTTTACTAGCTCACGTGACCTAATGTTTTCAATGGGCTGATGGCGTGGTTGGATGTCCCAACCTAGTTGCAAACCAAATTCTCAAAAACGGCATGTTTAGCAATAATACAGCTAAACATTTTAGTCAAAGAGCAAATAAATATAACCACGCCATTCTACGATGAAAACTCTAAGTATTCCCAGTCAATTTTAGCAAATATTTCAAGCACTAAACAGTGAAAAATACATCGCAAATTTCGTTAAAATTTGTGCTGCCAATTTCGTAGCTACAAATGTAAAAAAAAATACAAAACAAAGACGAAAAACATTTACCTTGAATACTTTGTCGTGGCTTAGGCATGTTTTTAGAACAATTAGACCAGTTTATGCTTCAAGATCACTCTTTTAAAGTGGAAAATATAGCAAAACAACAAAAATGCCGAGAACTTTGGTAATATTCGCAATACGCGTGACGTCACGTTTTTCAACAAGGATGAGGTCAATGACGTCAGAAGTTTCCGATCCAGTTATTTTACAGTCCATGATATAACTACACACATAAAAACGCACAAGTTGTAACAAACCTGCAGCAGACTTGTACAGGGTTGTTGAGCTCACCAGACGTGTTACAAGTTGTTCCAACAACTTGTTATCGTCCTGCAATTCAACAATTTGTCAACAAGTTGTGACTGACAACCTTGTAGCAACTTGATAAAATAACAACATTGTTACAACTTGTTGACAAGCTTGCTATACAAGCCTGTTGCGAACACATCTTGTTGATAAGTTGTGAGATATGTACGTGTGAAGTTGTTGTAGTAATTTGAGGATGGAAATTCGGAAATGCGCAAAATCCGCGTTTTCCACTTGACTTGCGTGTCCGCATGTCCGCGTTTTCCACTTTACTGCCGTGTCCGCGTGTCCACATGTCCGCGTTTTCCACCTAACCAGCTGTAAGTGTGTTTGAGACACTACTTCGCATATTCGTGCCTTCGTGGTGTCAAAAACACCAGGAACTGCAGTGGCGTAGCTAGCGGTCCTGCTTGTCCTGCACAGCAGGACTAAAAATTTCCCCAAATTTTCTTACTAAAACATTGCTTTATTTATCTTGAAGCTTTAAAAATTGATCATTATCATATTGTTATTTTGTCTCATTTTGTCGTCTTTTTCGTTATAATTTTTTAAAAAGTTTTTCGCATTCTGTTATATTTACGCAATTTTATAGCTTGCCGTGTCTGTTACCTAGCAACTGCAACTCTACATTGATTTACACGCGACTCTTATTTCAGTCCTGCCATTTTCAAATGGCAGGACTTGCTAGTATATTTCATAGTAAATTCATACAAGAAATCTTGGTTTCTGATTGGATAATTAGGTCTGCGCATGCTCAAACCGACTGTTTACAAATGCGAAGTCCTGCTCTCTCGAAATGGCAGGACTTGGCCTTGTATTGTCTTTACTTGCGAGCTTTCCGCGTGACTAAACCCACTTTTTACTAATTCTGTCGAGATTACTCAAGTTATGAATATGGAAATCAACGAGTGTGGAAGCCCAATGTGATTTTGATATAATTTCTGGCTTCTGCTAAGATATTTTAGCTCACGAAATGCATGTGAACAGACTCGACTGATGATTGTGTATTTTACCACTGTGAAGTACGCATGAGATTCAACATGACATTCAACATGATATTCGATATTGTGTAAATTAACTAATTTCAATCACTCAAAAGTCCAAATGATAAATACAGCCATTTCTTCTTTCCCAAATCAATTTGGGAGAAATAAACCATGCAGGTCACATTAGCTAACTACTACCTTTATGGTTATCCGCACACAAACCTACAAACGCATTTCAAAGCACTCCAAAACGATACTTTCCTAACAGCTATCCACACTGTCAACAAATATTCAATACAATTTGCTAAGAAATTTAAACTATAAATTTCTCCGCTGCTATTCTATATGATTTTTTAAAACTTTCATATCTTGTATAAAATTATCTCCTCTTTCCACTGGTTATTTAACATTGGGCGGCATCAATCTATAAACAATCGAAATTCGGCCTCATACCGTATGGTATTAACTGTAAGACAATACCCATTATAGATATATAGCGCGCACGCACTGTCAAGAATAGCATTTTAAACTATAAATTTCTCCGCTGCTATTCTATAGGATTTTTTAAAACTTTCATATCTTGTACAGAATTATCTCCTCTTTCCACTGGTTATTGAAACTTGGCCGGCATCAATCTATAAACAATCAAA